TCCTCCTCTCCCTGCTCCTCTCTGTGCTGCTGCCTGCCTGGGACAGGATTTTTCTCTTGTCTGCTGATTTGTAGTGTAGTTTGCCAGTATCACCAGGATTGAGCTGGAATCTGGTTCTTTCCTGTCCAGTCAAATGGCAGGAGCTTGCCAGTGTCTGAGATGCACTTGAGTAAACCCTGCCTTACACTGCCTTGGATGTGCTCCGAACTTTCCGAAGTAGTTAAGGAATATGAGTAACTGAGCTGATTTTTGTTGCATTATCTGGCCATTTTCAGTAACACGTACTTTCTGATCTGTGTTTCAGATTGACTGGGGAAATGACGGGGTGTCTGGAGTGGATCAGTCAGGTGATATCGATTGGGGAATCACAGTAGAAGAGAGCACTGAGGTGAATCATTGTCGCTGTGCTCCTCCCACAGACCCTCCTGTCCTGAAATTTCTTCCTGCTGGTTTTATTGTGTTTTATTTTGTACCTTCTCCAAGGTGAACAACGAGGAGCAAGCTGCTGATGTGATCGACTGGGGAGAAGATACAAGTGCTGCTGTGGAAATTGACATTGTGCAGTCTGGGACTGAAGGTAATCTTGTACTTACATGGTCCTGTTGTATCTCTGAAAGGGTTGGCCCACTCCAGGACAAAGAAGGGAAGTTATGCAAGGAGTCAGAGAAAATGAGTGAGATTCTTAATGAGTATTTTGCATCAGTATTCACTGAGGAGAGGGACATAACGGATGTTGAGGTTAGGGATAGATGTTTGATTACTCTAGGTGAAGTCGGCATAAGGGGGGTGCGGGGGATGTGTTGGGTATTCTAAAAGGCATTAGGGTGGACAAGTCCTCAGGTCCGGATGAGATCTATCCCAGGTTACTGAGGGAAGCGAGAGAGGAAATAGCTGGGGCCTTAACAGATATCTTTGCAGCATCCTTGAGCACGGGTGAGGTCCCGGAGGACTGGAGAATTGCTAATGTTGTCCCCTTGTTTAAGAAGGGTAGCAAGGATAATCCCGGTAATTATAGACCGGTGACCCTGATGTCAGTGGTGGGGAAACTTCTGGAGAAGATACTGAGGGATAGGATCTATTTACATTTGGAAGAAAATGGGCTTATTAGTGATAGGCAGCATGGTTTTGTGCAGGGAAGGTCATGTCTTACCAACTTGATAGAATTCTTTGAGGAAGTGACAAAGTTGATAGATGAGGGAAGGGCTGTGGATGTCATATACATGGACTTCAGTAAGGCGTTTGATAAGGTTCCCCATGATAGGCTGATGGAGAAAGTGAAGTCACATGGGGTCCAGGGTGTATTAGCTAGATGGATAGAGAACTGGCTGGGCAAGAGGAGACAGAGAGTTGTAGTGGAAGGGAGTTTCTCAAAATGGAGAACTGTGACCAGTGGTGTTCCACAGGGATCCGTGTTGGGACCTCTGTTGTTTGTGATATACATAAATGATCTGGAGAAAGGTATAGATGGTCTGATTAGCAAGTTTGCAGATGACACTAAGATTGTTGGAGTAGCAGATAGTGAAGGGGACTGTCGGAGAATGCAGCAGAATATGGATAGATTGGAGAGTTGGGCGGAGAAATAGCAGATGGAGTTCAATCCAGGCAAACGCGAGGTGATGTATTTTGGAAGATCCAATTCAAGAGCGAACTGTACGGTAAATGGAAAAGCCGTGGGGAAAATTGATGCACAGAGAGATCTGGGTGTTCAGGTCCGTTGTACCCTGAAGGTGGCAACGCAGGTCAATAGAATGGTCAAGAAGGCATACGGCATGCTTTCATTCATCGGACGGGGTATTGAGTACAAGAGTTGGCAGGTCATGTTACAGTTGTATAGGACTTTGGTTCGACCACATTTGGAATAATGCGTGTAGTTCTGGTCGCCACATTACTAAAAGGATGTGGATGCTTTGGAGAGTGTGCAGAGGAGGTTCACCAGGATGTTGCCTGGTATGGAGGGCGCTAGCTATGAAGAGAAGTTGAGTAGATTAGGATTATTTACATTAGAAAGACGGAGGTTGAGGGGGGACCTGATTGAAGTCTACAAAATCATGAGAAGTATAGACAGGGTGGATAGCAAGAAGCCTTTTCCCTTTGTGGGGGACTCAATTACTAGGGTCACAATTTCAAGGTGAGAGGAGAAAAGTTTAAGGAAGATATGCGTGGAAAGTTCTTTACGCAGAGGGTGGTGGGTGCCTGGAACGCATTGCCAGCGGAGGTGGTAGAGGCGGGCACGATAGCGTCATTTAAGATGTATCTAGACAGATACATGAATGGGCAGGGAGCAGAGGGATACAGATCCTTGGAAAATAGACGACAGGTTTAGATAGAGGATCCGGATCGGCGCAGGCTTGGAGGGCCGAAGGGCCTGTTCCTGTGCTGTAATTTTCTTTGTTCTTTGTTCTTTGTTCTTTCTTTGTAATAAATTTACTTCTGTATTTTCTCCACAGTCTTGACATACTTTCAGAAATGTGGTGTCCAGAATTTTACTTAATATTCCAATTGGGCTAAGCAGTGATTTGTAAAACTTTAGCTTTGTTGTCTTTGTATTCTGTTTACAAAACCCTTTTCCCAGAGGCTAGTGAGAATGTAGAACTCCATACCACCACTCCATATCACGTCAACCACCAGGAATGGTTGACGTGAACAGCATCATTACATTTAACATAAAATTGGACATTTGAGCGTAGAATTAGGAACAGAGGGCACCACTCTGACCCTCAACTTGGCTCCACCATTCAGCATAGCCGTGGATCATCTGATCACTCCACATTCCCAGCTACAACTGAAAACCTTTCAGCCTCATGCTGAAAGAGAACTTGTCTACCCCGCCTTAAAAATTTTCAACAACTGGGCTTTCACCACCTTTTGAGGAGGAGTTCCCAAGACCCTCAACCCTTTGTAAAAACAAAACTGTTCATCTCTGTCTTAAATGGCTGACCTTTTTTTTAAATAGTGACCCCCTAGTTCCAGACTGTCTCGCAGGAAGAAACAACCTCTTTACATCCTGCTGGTCAAGACTCCTCAGGATCTTGTATGTTTCAGTCAAGTTGCCTCTTAGTTTTCTAAATGCTAGAGGATTCAGGCCCAGCCTCTCCAAAGGTTCCTTATAAACAACCTGTTCCATTCCAGGTATTAATCTAGTAAACCTCTAAACTACTTCCATTGTATTTGCGTTTTTCCTTAAATAAGATAGCCAATACAGTACACTGTCGCTACTTAACTTGAAGGTGTGTGCTGATAATCGAGTCAGACTGTTCCAGAAATCATCACCGAACATATAAAATCCCAATTAGACCATGAACATGACCAATTTGCCTGACTGACTGTTATTCAGGACAAAAACAATGCACACCAGGTTTTGTCATTATTTTTGTGTACTTAATTTTAACAATACAGAGAGAAAAGAAAGGATTTCTAATTTACTATTATACAACTTAAACTATACTCCTTATAGCTCCCAAATGAGCACACATTAAGACAGACAAAAAGATTTGGCACGCATACTACTAACTGATCCAAATTCCTGCCTTTAACATCATCCTTGACCTCTGTCTATCAGAACTCTGTCTAACTCAGTTCCGGTTAAATTCAATGAACCAGCCCCCACTGCTGGCTGCAGAGAGAATTTCACAGACCAGTGACTCTCTGAGAGAAAAATAATTCTCATCTCTGTCTTAAAAGGAAAATATCTTAAATCTTTTCGGAGATAGTAGGAACTGCAGATGCTGGAGAATCTGAGATAATAAGGTGTAGAGCTGGATGAACACAGCAGGCCAAGCAGCATCAGAACAGCAGGAAAGCTGACGTTTCGGGCCTATCCTAGTAGCTAGAGAAACCCTAAACTTATTTAAAAGGAACCTGAATCTGCACCCACAAGTTGACAGTCCAGGTGCTGGTGAGCGGTACTAGAATGGGTAGCTAGTTTATTCTACTGGCTCAGACATGATTGGCTGAATAGTTTTTTTTCTGTGCTGCAATTGTTCTAAGATGTGTGGTGTACCCCAGATTGCTGTGTTCGTGCTCCCCCTTTAAAGGCGAGAAAGTAACTTTCCTACCAAATGTAGCACAAGGTGAGTGGAGCGATCTGCCCTGGCTATAAATGATTGAAGTTTCTGTCTCATTGAACAGGGCAATGATATCCGACAGGAGCTGCTATCCCTCTGCAACGACCTCCCGTCTGGCCTCGATGGTATTGCTGAGGGGACCAGTGATCTTACTGATGCCCTGGAACTGTATGAAGCCTGTGTGGAGTTTGTGTGTGGCAGGTAAGGATGTGCTGGGAAGCACTCAAACTGGAATATTCCTGTTGAGTTTTGTTCAATATGAATTAACAGGAATTACTTTGTAATCACAAAGTTCAGTCTGCCTTTGACCCCATCCTTGGGGATGGGACTTTGTATGTGGTGTGAAACCTGTCACACCTGAGGGCAGCACGGTGGCTCAGTGGTTAGCACTGCTGCCTCACAGCGTCAGGGACCCAGGTTCGATCCCACCCTCAGGCGACTGTCTGTGTGGAGTTTGCACATTCTCCTCATGTCTGTGTGGGTTTCCTCCGGGTGCTCCGGTTTCCTCCCACATTCCAAAGATGTGCAGGATAGGTGGATTGGCCATGCTAAATTACTCATAGTGTTCAGGGATGTGTAGATTAGGGGGATGGGTCTGAGGGTCGGTGTGGACTTGTTGGGCCAAAGGGCCTGTTTCCACTGCAGGGATTCTATGATCTATGACCTGCAGCTGCATGATTCTGCCATAAGGTGGCATTCCTAAGCTGCTGAGTCCCCATATTCCCTCAATACTGCTGCAGTCTGAGGGTACAGTGTTAGAAAGGCACTGAGTTAGACCAGAACAAGGGGCCACAGCCTCAAAATTACAGCCACGCTGTTTAGGGGTGATATTAGGAAGGACACCCAGGAGGTGGTGAAAATAGGGAAATCTCTTCCCCCAAAAAATGCTCCGGGGGCCTGGAATCAATCCACCTTGCCTGCACATCCTTGAACACTATGGGTGCTTTAGCATGCCAGTCTACCTGACCTGCACATCTTTGGACTGTTGGAAGAAACCAGAGCAAACCCACGCAAACAGAAGGAGGATGTGCAAACTCCACCCAGCCAGTTGCCCGAGGGTGGAATCGAACCCGTGTCCCTGGCACTGTGAGGCAGCAGTGCCAACCACTGATCCACCGTGCCACCCAAAAGTCAAAATAGCCTCCAGTGAGGATCTTCTCAGAGAGTGCTGAGAATATGGAGCTCAGTATCATAGAGACTGTTTGAAATGAGCAGGATAGAAGGGAAAATTAGACAAACAAGGAGTACCATGATCGAGTTAGATGAAGAAAGATGAGCAGAGGCACAAACTTGTTGGGCCACATGGCCTATTTCTGTGTCATATATCTGACATAATCCTGCAGGTGACCTCGGGCTGCTGAGGCACTCCTGATAGATTTTCACAGGATCTGCAGCGTAAGACACCTGAGCTGTCTCTGGATGCAGACATTATTAAGGGTGAAAAGAGTGCAGTGAGAGAATGGGAAGGCAATGTACTTACCTCCAGGAAACCCAGTAAATAAATCAAAACCGAAAGAACTGCAAATGCTGTAAATCAGGAACAAAAATAAAGTTGCTAGAAAAGTTCAGCAGGTCTGGCAAGTCAGAACTGAGGAAGGGTCACTGGACCCGAAACGGTAACTCTGTTTTTTCCTTCACAGATGCTGCCAGACGTGCTGAGCTTTTCCAGCAACTTTGTTTTTGTTCCAGTAAATAAATTGAATTGTATACAGTCAGTATATACGGTGACATGAAAGTGACTAATCACTCTCTTTTTAAACGTATTGTTAAATGCACCAAAATCAAGCTGTTCAAAATGTAGTTTAAACAGGAGTTCCCCTTTGTCAGTTGAGGGGCAGGATAGGACTGGTTGCTCCATCAAGCCTGGTCCATACACCCTTATCTGCCCTTTTCCCTCCTCACCCGCCTTCCCTCCACAATCTGTGCTCTCCTGTGTTTAGCTGCTGACTAATTCTGGTGTGCTCTGGCTGACAGTGTCTCCGAACCCATTGCTCCCTTGCTGAAACACGTTCAACTGAAGGGAAACACAACTGTCTATGAGTGGAGAACTGGACAGGCACCTTCAGCCATTGAGCGGCCAGTTAACGTGGAGGTACAACAACCAACAGAGCCCACAGACATGGTGAGTGTAACTGGAATGAGTCTACTCTCCCAACTCTCAGATCTTTGAGTGAACACCAACACTGGGACCACACCAGGGATCGCTGTAAGCTGCCCAGTGCAGCATTCCCTGAGGTACAGATAGTGAGACACAAGCAAGTAACTTAAACACATTGGAACACAAATCACTAAATTGTTTACTAATGGCCCAGATTACTTTTTTTTGTTTTAACGCAGCGTTTGCAGAGTTTTAAAATACATTCTAAAAGTTTGCATATGAAATAGCTCAAAACTTTGGTGCTTTATACACATCCCATGACGTTAAATCCGCCTGATCTTGTAATATTCGGAACAGTGCAAGCCAGTTTTGTTCAAGATTTAGTTCTGTTGGTGCTGGAACACAGCATGATACAAATTAGTGGGAGAAATAGACCATTCAGCCCTCAAGCCTATTCCACTCTTCAATAAAATCTCTGTGTTTTGAATTCTACGTTCCCATCCAGCCTCTGCCTGTCAAGAATCTATCTACCTCTGTCTTAAAAATACTCAATAACCCATCTCCAACCCTTCTGAGGCACAGTGTTCTAAAGTTGCACAATCCTCTGAGAAAAGTAAACTCTCATTTCTGTTCCAAAAAGGGCAACCCTTAATTGTAAAGTCAGTGGCCCCTAGTTATGGACTGAGGAGGAAAGATCCTTTTCATATCTGTCTTGACCAGATCATTGAGGATCTTATACACTTCGATCAAGTCAACTCCCACTCGTCTAAACTCCAGTAGAAGCAAGCCCAGCCTGTTCAACATATCCCAGTAATTCCAGAGACTAATCTGGTAAACCTCCTCTGAGCTGCCTGCAATACATTTACATCCTTAAATAAGGAGATCAAATCTGCATGCAGTATTAAAGAAATGATCTCACCAATACTCTGTCGCAAGATCTTTACTTTCTTGTTGAATTCCTTTTAAAATGAAGGATAGCATCTCATTTGCCTCCCTGATTATGTTCCGTATTGTCTTATTAACTTCTTATGATTTATGCACCAGAATGCCTAAATCCCTCTGCACCTTCAAATTCTGCAGTCGTTTTCTACTTAAATAAAACTTTGCTTTTTTTTTAAAAATCAAAATGAAAACCTTCACATTTTCCCACGTTCTATCCCATCTGCCAGGCTTTTACCATTCTCTCAACTCTTATCTATATCTGGCTGCAACTTCCTTATCTCTTCTTCACAAAATACTTTCCAACACTTTCTTGGTGTCACCTGCACATGTAGCGACCCTGCCTTCATTCCCCTTACCCCAGTTCTTCATGAAAATTGTGAAAACCTGAGGCCCCAGCACAAAACCCTGTGGGACTCCATTTGTTACAACCTGCTAATCAAACAAAGACCTGTTAAGGCACATTCTCTGTTTTCTGCCAGTCAGTCAATCTTCTGTCCAGGCTAAAATGTTAGCCTGTGCTCCATGAGAACATAGAACAGTACAGCACCATACAGGCCCTTCAGCCCACGATGTTGTGCCGACCTGTTATCCTACTCTAAGATCAAACTACCCTGCATTCCCTACATGAGCTCTGATTTTCTGTAGTAATCTTTGATATGGCCCTTTATCACATGCTTTCTGGAAATCCAAGTACAGTATGACTACAGGATCTTCATTTACCGCAGCACATGTCATTCCTTCAAAAAAAAACACCAATAAATTGTTTTAATGTGGTTTCCCTTTCATGAAAGCATGTCAAATCTTCCTGGTTACACTGAGTTTTTCTAAGAGTGCAGCTATAACCTCTTTAATGATTGATTCTAACACCTTCCCAAGCCATCAACTGGTCTGTAGTTTCTTGTTTTCTAGAATAGAATATCCTTTATTGTCACGTGTACTCAAGTACGGAAGTACAGAGATACTGTGAAAAGTTTACAATGTTACCCTGTATAGTGCTATCTCTGGAACAAAGTGCTTAGGTACAGATCTTAGATACAAAACACAGAAATAAAGGGAAAAAGAAAAGGAAAAAAGTTACATTACTTACAGTTGCTCATAGTATAAGTTAGAAAATAAGAAGAAAGTTAAAAAGATAAGCACTACAGTCTATCCATAAAGGGCCTGCAGTAGATCCACAGCGGGGGACTTCGACACATGGTGTGACCGACCTTGCAAGCTACTGACCGTCCCCGCTCCGAGCCTCCAGCCCCACTGCCCATCCCTGCTCCGAGCCTCCAGCCCGCTGACCATCCTCGCTCCACAGTGTCCAGTCCCACTGACCGTCCCCGCTCCGCTCTGAGCCTCCGGCCCGCTGACCGTCCCCACTCCGCTCCGATCCTCCAGCCCACTGACCGTCCCCGCTCCGAGCCTCCAGCCCGCTGACTGTCCCCGCTCCACACAGTCTCCAGTCCCACTGACCGTCCCCGCTGCGAGCCTCTAGCCTGCTGTACCTCAGGAGGGAACACCCAAAGGGGGATAAAAGAGACAGAAAATGGGAAATAAACATAAGGAGCGGAGGAGCTCCGGTTTGAGCATCCTACTCCACCGCCATCTTGACTGTAAAGACCCTTTTTGACCCTTCCACCTCCCTTACGTCTTGAGTAGTCATTTTATATTTTATAAAACCAATGGAAGCTTTCTTGAATGTTGGAAATTTTGCATAATTATCTGCATTTTTCTTAAGTTTGATGCTTTCCCTTACTTAGGGTAACTATTCTCCTCCTTGATGCTTCAGAGTGTCTATAATTTAGCCTCCAGTTCATAAACTTTGAGCCGAAGCTGCTACAGACACTGCAGAGAAAGCAAGAGCTGATGCTGGAGTCACAGACAAACAGCGTGGAGTTGGATGAACACAGCAGGTCAGGCAGCATCAGAGGAGCAGGAATGTCGATGTTTTGTTGAAGGATGTAAACCCGAAACATCAGCTTTCCTGCTCCTCTGATGCTGCCTGACCTGCTGTGTTCCTCCAGCTCCACACTGTATTGACTCAGACACTGCAGATGTGGTTGACCTGGGTCACTGCATTAACCAGGAGCTCCCACATGCTGCTGCCTTGACACATTACCTGCACTGCCACTCCTGATTAGTTTCAGTTGTTTAATTATGTTATTCACTCACTTAAATTGCTTTTTATTGCTTTTAATTTATTTTATTAACTTTACTATTATGCATACTATGTTAAAATTTAAGAGCAGACTAAGCCTTAACCACTTCCCAGAGATTCACCAAATGGCTTGCTCCTTTCTTTGGAATAGGGCAAAAACCAATTTTAACCAGATCCAATGAATCTAACTCTGTCTCTGACTGCCTGCCTGGGACAGGGTCCTCCTCTCCCTGCTCCTCTCTGTGCT